CCGCCATGCGGCGGCCGGCACGGAGGGCGGGGGGTGCGCGAGGCGTGCGAGGCGGGGTGCTCCTGTAGCCGACCGCCACGGCCCCGCGCACACTGTCGCCTTTGGGCTGCGCCCCATTTTGCAAGCGCGGCGCGCCCTGCAGTTGTAACCTGCAAAAAGCATTTAATCAGTTCGACGAGCTCCACTGCGGGCTGCGCATTGAGCGGAAGCTGCATGTAATCTATCCAGAGCGCTTTTTATCGTAGAAGCGCGCACCCTGCTCCTAAACTTAGTTATGCTATTTCCATTTCCTCGTGGGGCCCGTAGACATTTGAGATAAGCGCGCGATTTGACGACAGCTGTACCACGACCACCACGATCGTGCAAAGGCACAATGGAGGACTCATAAAGACTGAGTCCCCGCTCCAAATCCGCACCCTTGTCGCCAAACTGAAAAAGTATCTCGCAGAAGGCTTCTGTAAGTGCCTTGTATTTAGAATGCGCGGTCGCCCATTTGCGCAGCCGATTTTTCTCCGACGTTGTATAATCTATCAAAGGCTTCTTTGTATAGATTGTCTTAAAAAAGTATGACAAAATCACGTCTGCCATACTGGGTATCCCTGTGGGAGCAGGGAGCTGCTCTTGATCAACGCGCGAACGCCGCCCGCTCGAATTCTCTAGCTTTGTCTGCTGAAAATCATTTTTCACCGGCGCTGTATTGTTTCTGCCGGAGCTTTGGGAGGGATCGCGGTAACCAACTTCGAGTACCGCTGCCGGCTGCAGCGCCTGTCGACGACCAGAAAACCTGGCGTTCACGGGTGGGGGGATTGGCTGTCTATCGACGACCAAACGTTCTGCAAGTGGTTACGTTGAACGCGGAATTGAACGTTAGTACAGTAGTTTACATTCACAGGCACTTGTAGACGGACGCATTCAAACGCGTTCGCGTGCAAACAGCATAACAACCGACGTACCATGCGGTGTACCGACATGAAAAAAGTTATTCGTAATTGACTGCGACGGCCCTGTGCGCCATGAAGATCCACCAGCCCTTTCAATATTTGCCTGTGTGTTCAGCACAGGCCTTGACATGAAACCAAACGCGTTGCGAGTAGGAGGAATCCATATATTGCCCCCTGGTGGACTAGCCATGAATTCCAACTCGTGTTCAGCTAGCTCCGACTGACCGCCAGCCAGGCCTCTGGCACAGCACTCCAGCTTGAAAGCTGCCTCAAGAATGACTGCCGCTCGCATCATGGAGCTTTGATTGCGACGTACGTCTCTCTTGTGGTCCAGCACTTCTGCTGGAATTGCCCGTTGTTGTGCTTGTGCCGTTCGGGTTCCTACCTTTGATGCGAGAGCCTCTACAGCCGTGGCCTCCAGCAGAGCGTCAGCAGCTGCGAGCGCTGCTGAAGGTGCAGTAATTTTCGCCGCGACTGGCTTCGTGAGAGCTTCGGGGACTGGCGCCTTATTGACTACACTCGTCGGTTCGTTGGCGGTGGTGGTCATGAAGGCGCTCTCTGCACCGGGCGCAGTGGTGCTGGCAGAGCGGGGGGCAGACAACATTGACATTGTCAATTGTTGGTTGAGGAAGCTGTCCGTGGACATACGGGAGGGGCGAAAGGGAAACGGCGGGTGCGTTATGGTACTGGACGGTTGGGGTTATGACGTATTTTATAGGAATTGATAGCGTTATTGTTGTAGTCATGGGCCTACGTATGCCCACGCGGCGAATGAGAAGCGCGCGTGGCCTGCCACCCGGCTTCACGCGCCTACGTAAACGCCGCGAGCCTGCCGCTCCGCGCTCCGCACTTCGCCCTTGGAAAACCACCCGCCCAGTCTCCCCCGCACCCCGACGCGACGTTTCCTCATGTCGGGCCGCCCTCGTCCTGCATTTGTCTATCCCATTCGCTCTCTGCGCACGTCATACCAATGGCGTATATGCCCTTGGGTGAGACTGTAGAGCGATTTCGGTAATCCCATCTGGGCCGAGCCCAAGGCGAGTGTTGGGGTTGCGGTTGAGCAAGCCGCAGATGAGCGGTTTGAAGTCGGACGATGCCAAAGGCCCAGAGGTCAACCAACTGTCCGTACTCGCAGCCGCTGAGCATCTCTGGGGCGACGTACTCGCGCGTGCCGCAAAAGGTCTCGGACATGTTGATGGGGTTTGCCAGGGCGATGCGGAGGTTGGACGAGGGCGGCGGCTGGGGCTTCTGGGACGGGTGCTTCCGCTTGCCCAGCAGCTTGATGAGGCCCAAGTCGGCTCGGCGATGCGGACGTGGCCGTCCAGGTCAAGCAGGACGTTCTCCAGCTTCAAGTCGCGGTACACAACGAACAGTTTGTGGATGTAATCGACGGCGAGGAGAATCTCGGCGGGGATGCGGCGGCGCGCCTCCTTAGCTTTCACTCTCTTGCTTTTCCTAACGTTCGCGCCGCCCCCCGTGTGCCGCCACGCCTGTACGGCGCCCCCGCCCGCCCGCGGCAGACTGCCCCGCCGGACACGCTGCGCCACACACGCCCCGCCCAGTACCCCACCTTATTCTCATCACCCAGGGAGCCCTGCCTCCCGGTGATGAGAATGAGGCGGGGTCTTGCCTCCGTAGCATCCGCTCGCGGCGTAGGGGATCTTACACCTCGCCGGCAGCCGCATGCATATTTGTACCCCGCCCGCCCCCTGCACTCCCCCCACACTATCTCACTCACTCTCTCGCTCGAACACGACGAACGCCCGCACGATGAATCTCCAGGTCTGCACGCTGCTGCTCTCGGCCCTAGTTTCCCTCGCCGCGTCGTCGTCGACGGGCGAGGTGCCGGAGGGGGATGGTGAGGGCTGTGGACGGGCCGTACAGCTACGACACGACGCGGACGAACGGGCACGGACCCCTGTCGTCAGTGGACGAGGAGTTCTCCGCGTGCGGTGCGGGCGAGATCCGCCACCCTCAACTTTCCGGCGGCGGTCGGCGTCTCGCCGCTGGCCCCGCAGCCCAAGCTCGTGCGCGCCGAGTAAACGCTCGGCCCGGCCCTGCCAGCTGGAACTGGGCCCTCGCGTGGCACTTCCACCACCCCGGCGAGCACACCCTCATGGGCAAGCAGTTACCGCTCGAGAGCCACACGGTGCACCAGAGCGAGGGGGTGTGCGGGAAGGAGAGGAACACGGGGTCGGTAGTGCGCTTGCGCGGCGGAGGATAGCGCGGGCGCTCCGCCGAGCGTGAGATGGAGCCCGAGGTACGGCAACGGCGGAAGCAGGATGAGCTGGCGCGGGAGCCAGCGCGCGCGGATGGTGGTCAGGGTACCGGTGTCGCAGGCCATGAAGGAAGGAGGGGGGGAGGCAGGGGAGCGGTAGAGCGGCATGCGGATGACTCTACTCTGCACTTGGGTGCGTCGGGAGGCCGGGGCAAAGGCGACTCTCAGCGTATGAGGGGAGACGGGTGCGGCGGTAAGTGTAGGGCCGGGAGCGGGCGTAGCTGTCAAGACGGCAGGAGGGACCTTTTCTTGCATGGGCGGGCTCGGGCGGCGGTGGCAGGAGGCGGGACGCTGGGAGCCTGCACCATCAACGGCAGCTTGGCGCGGGCGGGCGGGCGGTCGGCGACAACGGCGGAGGGCTCAACTATGTCGTTGCGGGCTTCTGACGAGGTGGGGTGCCCTTTTATTTTGGGGGGTAAATTTATCAATACTGTACATGAGGGGTGCGCTTACAGATACAATTCTAGGGATTCATGTACCTACTAATATCATTTATTTATTTTTTGAATGCATTTTTATTCAAATTTATTTTTGTACGATTTTTATTCAAATTCTACGAGGGACCGATGCTGTAATGACGGGGCAGGCGTCAAGGGGTCACACTTGGGCTGGATGGGAAAGGGCTGCGCCGTGGTACGGCATGCGGGCGAGGGTTGCAGAGGCGACGCTTGACCAGATCGCGAAACTGAGGCGTTGCTGGAGGCGGTGCTTGGCGGTGCCATATGTAGATGACGTGCGGCGCGCGATGAGGTGAGCGTGGGTCCCTAGCACGCCAGTAGTGCGCGCGCTAGGCGCGCCCAGCGTGTCGAACGCGAGGGGTACGAAATCCCAATCAAGGGGAGGAAGCGGGGCATCTGATTGTAGATGGTAGGCATCGCGCACAGCGCGAGCGTGAGACCGGAGCTTTTCAGTATCTCCGGCCTCAGCTGCACCGGCAAGGTTGCGAGCAGCGGCAGAGAGAGCGCCAGAGCGGTAGGGAGAGCGAATTGTGACATCATATGCGGTAGGGTGATCGGGAGGTGCACCAGAGGGAGGAGCGGGGGGTTGGACGAGGAGGTCAGCGGGGCGTCGCGCAGTATCAGGCAGCAGAAAGGGGACTTCTAAGTCGCACTGTAGACCGGCAGCGCGAAAAGCATGGCGGGCGAGGACGTTACGGACGATGTTGTGGCGATGAATTATCCCAAACCCATGACGGCATACAGTGCGAGCGCGGCGGCGTGCAGCGGGTGCGGCGGGCGAGGGGAGCGGGGGGAAGACGACTTCTTTGTCGCCATGTGTGTGTGTGTGTCTATAAAAAAAGATATGTTAAAAAGTTGTGCGCGAAACATGATAGAAAGACTGGCTAAAAACGGCGGAATCGCTGCTTTCAGCCTGTCATCCCACTACGAATGATCCTTCCGCAATTTATTTTTTGGGGGTCGGTACTGTAGCACGAGATGGTCTGGTATAAATTGGTTGGAAATTTACTACTGCTACCGCCAGAAAGGTCGGGCGGGAGTGGTGCACACGCGAAGGCGGGACGACGGAGAAGGGGTTTTAGCAGGGGTGGTGTGCTTCGGTACCACTCCCCTGCTACCCTTTTCTTTTGGTCGCGAGTTCAATTCTTCATGAATGCGAATTTATTAAATAATGTGTTAAAATAATATGTTATTAAATAATGTGTTAAACTAATGTATAGATTCCTGAATGTCAACTCATAATTTTAAATAATTTCTGTATTCGCGCATTTTTAATTTTTGGCAGTGGCCCGTTGTATGGGGCGTATGAGCTGTTACCCGCTGCATGTTACCCGTGCTCACGGATCCTAGCATCCCTCGTACACTATGCCCTATCAGGGCACTTCAATTTCAAATTTATTCCTAAGCGGATACTGTAGTGGTGCGCACAGAAATGCAAAATTTTACACATTTAGCCACCAAATTTAGCAAAACCGATAGGGGTGCTCTTAAGGTGCGTTTGTGCGTAAAATCAGTTGGTGAAAATTGTTTTTAAATGTATCCAGAAGTTTCAGAGATATGTCGGTGGAAATGGAGGCGATGGGCGAATAAGAGTGAGTTTCGGACACACGATTCTGGATTTTTAGTAATTATTTCGAAACAATTGGGGGTGGCCGTTGAATTAGGACGCTGGGCAACCCCCCTTTATGTAAAGCTAACAACCTCCACGTATAACACGTGGGTGATTGGGTTACAAAAGCTCTGGGTGCTGGGCGTGTAGAAGATGGCGGCTCTGTGGCTCTCGTCCGCATGCTTGACACCGCCGTGAGGATTTCTTAGTCGTCTGTCTGCACAAAGGACAAGGACAAGCCTTCGCAACGGAAGAACTGTAGAACATTCGCAGGTCAAATCCGCTCGCCCTCCAAGAGTTGATTACTGTGTGGTGACAGGAAGCTGGTTGATCGATCATAGATACAAAGATATGGACTGGCAACGGCCATGAAACAAGACTCTCAATCATTCGTATCACCAGAATGAACACCACCCCCCTCAAGTACTATGACGCACCAAAGCAACACAACACAAATGCCTGGGGTGGCAAGCGTCTATGGCTTTGCGCAATTTAGACCACTATCGTCACGGAAGCGACCGGATTAGCCACCACTGCAACTACAACTGCGTGATCGTGCCAAATCAGTGAGTCCAATGTAGTCTCCACTCGAGCCAGGACAGCTTCAGACCCCGTCCTCTAGCCTTTGCACAACTTTTCTCTTCCGTGGAGTTATTCACCATGTTCATCCTGTATGAGGAACATGGCTCATGTCTGCCGTCCCCAGAATTCGATCCGTGATGTCTTGCCAGTTCTCTACCTACTCGCAACGAAGTTTGATCTATCTATCCACGTCCCACATACGCACGGTCTCGTCCCAGGATGCAGACACCACATGTCTTCTGCCCGCACTCATCCCAACGCTGCGCCCCCTATCCCTGTGTCCAGTGAACGCGCCCCTTCTTGTCCTCTGTCTGCTACCAATCCGGCGACCGCGGTGCAGTGTGCGTATGTCTCGTTACCAGAAGATGGACTAGCGTTTCATAAAGCCGGGCGATGCATGCAAAACGAGAACCAGACACTTTCATGCCTCCACTGTCATCCTGACGGTGATGTTCCCGCCAAAACTTTCGCACTTTCTTTGTACTCATTCTGAAACGCATAGAGCTAATGGCAGCTGCAGAACCACTCGTCCCAGACTACCACATCGTACACGTTAACTCAGCCCAAAAATATGTGGTCACCCTTTCCGTCTTTAGTCAGCTCAGCAAGAAACGAAAACTTTCCTCGAGACAATAGAGGACGTCTTCCCGGGGAGCACCGTCTTCCGCTTCCCTAGCCCTGTCCATGTATCTATATACCCGCACGAGCCATGAAAGATCATGGACTTTCTTGGTCAAGCTGTACAATCCATCAATGTCAGCTATGTCCATTTCCTGTGCATAGGCCTCCAACACCTCCCGGTTGCACCAGTCCACATCAAACAAAGGATGGCTTGCGAAAGAGCTGTCAAAGTCAAAAAACCGGAACCCTGGACCCTCATCGGCGCTCTTCCTGATTAGGTTTCCTAAATACAAGTCATTGTGTATCAAACAATCAGGCATTTCCCAACTAATAAGTTCCGTCAGGTATTCTTCCAGCTTGATCTTGGTGTTGGACAGCTTCTGGCTTGGTTCCGTTTCACGCACAGACAAAAGCTCCTTAGACTGAAAAAGTGAGGTCAAATTCTCACGCATCCACAGCGGTGAATAACATGGTAGCCCGGCCTGCAACAAATCGGGCAACACATCCGTGCTTGCGCGGTGCAGACGCACCACATCTCTTACCACCTGCTTACGCTCTTCATCGTCCATTTTATACAGGCCAGTCTCGTCACCGTGGTCGGCAAGGATCATTTGACGACTTTCCACGTCTGCAAACAACGGCTTGGCAACAAGATCAGGAGCAACGCTTGACATTATTGACGTGACTCCAGCATCGTTCGACGTGGATGGGCTGCATTTCAGGTAGTAATCACCCTCATTCGTCTTGATCTTTAGCACGGCTCCTCTGTATGACGCACGGAGCTGAACCAGATCCCCTATCACATGCAAATTGTGTCCATGCAATATTTCGCGCACTTTTCGAAGCGTTTCATGATGCCATTCGACAGAGGCCCAAGGCAACCGTCGAGGCGGCGAAACGTTGGCTGCGGCCTGTTCCAGTTCTCGTCGAATAGCTTGCTCCGCTCCCTTCTCCGAGTGCGATACATGGACGACACCCGCTCCGTGATTATCGGTGATGCCCACCCAACTGCATCCAGAAGGCACTCGTTCAGGTTTCTCATGGCACACAACAACGAGAATACCGCGGCTTCCCGAGTCTGAACAATCATCGGTTTCCACGTCCCACTCTTCACGGTAACAATCTCGAAGAACAATGAATGGAAATTCTATACCAATGACTGTCTTAGCAGCGCTGCACACTTCCGGTATCGGAGTGATACTTACAGTCTTAGAAAGAAATCCCGGAAGCCTCCATTCATCCGGACCGTTTGCCACAAGCAAAACGTATCGATGGCTCACATCAAAGATGAGAAGTTGCACCTCATTGACCAAATCCCTTTCACAGCGTGCCCTGGACGACTCGTAGATAGGCTGTTCGCTGCGGAACATGTCTTCCAATCCTGGGAGCGATCTTGCGTGCCCTTTCCGTCGCGCTTGTGATATTTTCCAATAAAATCTTTTGTGCTCGTTGTCGTAGAGCACGTTGAGAGAGTTTGCGTTTGCTTAAGGCGATCGCAGACTTTTGGGTAACGTTCGTACTGTGCAAGATAGCAAGGGACGGTACCATCATGTGAAAAGTGAGAAGCAAGGCCTAGATCAAAAAGAGCTCAGTGGTACTCGTCTGCGCAAAATTTGAATTTCTTTTTATAGCTTCAGAAGAGGCCTGATGCGAGGCCACGTGTCACCGAGACACAATTTTTGCTGGACTGGGTCTGCCTTTTGTAACCTTGTCAACATGTACCCTTATCTGCCAGCTTGCTCTTGACAGCTGCGCGGATAGTGGCGCCCAGTGTAGAAGCAGTGATTTGAAGAGACGCCCTTGTTGCTGTTTGAAAGGCCTTTGTAACAAAGGTTGGGTTTGGTGTTATCAATCTGAGGTTGAGAACAATTCACACTCAGCAACTTTCGTAAAGTAGAAATGATGCGGCTGACGATATGGCGCACAAGTAATCAATGCACAAGCGATACACTGCACGTGTTCAGTTGAAATGCGAACGAATGTCGATGTTGTACACGTGTATCTGCCTTGCTTCTGCGACATGAATATCCGAGTCAGGATGCACAATTGCGAAATGCGTGCTGCAAACATACATAGGAAGGGCCGTAAGTCGCGTTTACCGGCCAAATCCCGCAGGCGTATTCTATATTCTAATCTTGTCTGTGCCGTAGCAAAAACCCGAGGAAATTTCAAATCAACCTTGAGCAAGAAATGGCTGTTTGCGCTTCCAGCTGGTAACTTCATCAGACTGTTTATCGCGCAGACTGCTGCAAATTGGCAGCTCAAGAGTTCACATGTACAAGATCTAGACCTCTCCCGTGCCGCTCGACAAAACTGTCCCTGATACAGTACAGTACTTGCCGTTTTATATTCTTTCAATCACATTCCACTGGGGACTAGTCCACTACACCAGTCCACTGTTTTTTGTTTTTTCCGCAGGGAAAGCCGCTTCCTCCGTTGCAGTCTTCAAGCATCAAAATGGCGATGTTGCCGTTGGGAACAATTCTGCTCTGTGACGGCCGGCGCGGGCGTTGTAGCCACTTTCGGCTTGACGTGTGGGTTGGAATGGCGACAAGGATGGCTGATAAGCATCCGCTTTAAGATAGAATTATTACGGCGTACAGAACGGTGTGATATCGGGATGTGCACACAAGTTGATCATGGAGCAGACTAGAATTTGCAGTGCTACCAAAAAGGGAAGCACTCTGTTAGCGCCTTGTAACTGACATGAAATTGTGGTGCAACTGAGAATAGGACGCGCCGGCGAAGGCTCAGTGCGACTTCTTATAAGCTCACTGAAGCCGCCGAAAGGTCGGGGGAAAAGAGGTCACCGGCGGTAAACCAATCTTTGCTTTGTTTCAACTTTCGTTCTTGCTTTGACGCTGTAGCGTCTAAAGCGTGTATCTAGTGTCTATCGGACCATTGTCCTCATATGAGGACATTATTCGACCTATTTTATTCTTGACTTCCGCTTTCTCGACAAGAAAGAAAACGATAGCCGTGCCACCGTACTTGACTTCTGACTTGGGGCCAGAAAGTACTTTGTGAGAATTGCTTTGTTCTTCCTGGTTGTTTTTTGATATGCCTGGAAAAGAAGTTTTTTTTTAACCACCTTAAAACCAACCGTATGTAAAATAACTTCAAAACAAAAAAGGACAGTTTAAAAAGGCAACTTGGTACTCAATCTGCATTATATTCTTAAGCTTTCTGCGTATTCGAAGCTGCCATCCCGGTGTTCTGCAAGATGCTGCTGCCAAAAACAAGCACGTTAAGGAAATAGTGCTCAGGGTAGCTTTTTGAATGTTCAGTTTAATTTATATACTTTTGCAAAAAAACAGTTGTACTCATATGAGGACATCGCCGTCCTCATATGCATGTGTATGAGGACAAGCCCCGGTCGGATAGACACTAGACAACAAAGTGACCTCATAATATGAGACGTCAAATGGCCTGATATTACGAGGCCATTTGACGTCATAAGAAGGCTATTTTTCAATTTATTTTTCTCGACTTGGGCCTGCTTAAAGAGAAGGAAGACGGTACTGTACCCCCGCCACCGCGGTTTGAATTCTGGGTCTCAAAGAATGAAGTCTGGTGGGAGCTGCGCGTTCTTTGCAGTCATTTTATGAATGCCTGAAATAGAATCTTTTTTGCACAACTTTAAACGGCTTGTGTTGAAATCTTGGAAACAAAAACGCCTGTGTAAAATGTCAACCAGGTGAAGAAACTTGATTGGATTCTTATTCTTCGGTCTACTCACGACTGCTATCCCGATAGCATGGAAGGTGTTACTGCCGGATGCATGTACGCTAAAGAAATGGTGTCGAAATTGACTTTGCAAGGTTTCGATTTAATGAATAATTTTTTGCAAAAAAGCTGGCCTCCTATTTCATTGGGAGGAGGTTCGTGTATTTACTATTTTTCCAAGGACATCCGCACGTAAAAGGATTCAAGGAAAAAGGATGGCAGCAGCGGACTCTGATAAATGGAATGGGAAATGAATGGTAAAACAGAAAGAGACATGCCGGGACGAAAGAGGCCGCCGAGGCTAGAATAGCAGAGCTCAAGTGGTGAATCATTGGTGGCACTCGAGGTCATTAGCCAACTAGCTACAGTAGGTCGTCAGGATGTCAACGCTCGGCATACTGACAGCATCTTTAAGCTGCACGCTACTTCCGGGAGGTTCTTACGCGAAACGTGTACACGAACGCAAAACTTTCTTGGACCTATTGGCTTCCGCAATGACACCTTTCAGGGCACCGGGATACTGTAACAGTTTTGAATAGACTGCAAGACTAAGAATCCATTAAACTTCACCCATAAACAGTACCCAGTTGCTTTGTTAAGGGGGTGTTTCGGTTTCGTAGTTATCAATTCAACACGCTTCAAGGTTGCTCAAAACAGTTTCTTTGCTACGCATTTCTGAAAACGACCGGTGAATACATATAGTTGTGAATATAATAAATTCTTCCGCAACGGAATTCAAGTACGCTTAAAAGCCTCAGATGAGTCAGTTAATTTCATATGAGGTCACATCTCATCTACAGGGTGCTGGCATTCGCTACTTGGTCCGTTTTAGAAAAATGGGAAAACTTGAGGGGGGAAGAGGATATCTCGGGACGGAAAGCAGCGATGCTTGTCTTTATTGCTGATGCCAGCACGGCATCACCATAAGACCTAAACGTGTCTTCTTTAAGACTTATTTGCTCTCGAGATATGGCGCACGCCACCGCAGTTGCTGGCACATCATCGTAGGGGACGCATTGCATATGATCTTTCTAAGCGATACTACCCTTCGAAGGGTACATACGTATATGGCGAACACGTTGAAACGCGCAAGCATGGAGATCGTACCGTGTGATGTTCAAAGTGGATGAGTATGTGTCTTGCGTTTCAGCGCTGCACTCGCGACTGGTGCCGAAGCCGTGGATTTCGCTGTTTCTATGTGTGTAACACGGCCTCCTTCCGGCGCTGATAACCATCGGTCGCAGTACGGCGCCCCACACCAACAAACAGCCGGCCCCCCACGGGGAGGGCAAAGAAAAGAGGAGGGGTTCGCGTCCAGCACCCAGAACGACTTACAAAGTGCATCAGAACGATTCGTCCCTTCCCGTCGGCCTCGTGTTTGCGTCACACAACTCTCGGCTGAGCGCCACCTCCGTGGACTCCCGTCGGCCCCGTGACCCTCCACTAAACATTACCTTGCATCCACCGCCATTCCCAGACACGTTCCTACCAACGCCATCTGCCGCCGCGTCGCGCCCTCCAGCGCGCGTCCGCAACCCATCCCCCGTCACGACGTTGCGCCGCGCCGCGCACTGCCAAGCTTGCGCCCGCGCCACTCGCGAGCAGCGCCCCGCGACCGGCGCACGACGCACCGGGCAGCATCACGCGGGCACGCCGAGCGCGCCCATTGGCGCAGGGAGGGCGGACGCGGCAGCCACGATAGATGTCACTTTCTGACAAATGTCAGACGTCGAGTGGCGGGTCCGCACGCGCGGGTCTCGAGTGCGGGGCGCGCGTGCAGTCATGTGCGACCGGCGCGAGCGTGACCGCGCGCGACTCGCGGAGGGGGGTTGGCGACGGGGTTGGCGACGGGGTTGGCGGCGGGGTTGGCGGCGGGGTTGGCGACGGAGGGCGAAGGGCCTGTGTGCGAAGGGAGGTGGTGGGCAGGATGGCAGATGGGGGATATATTTTTATTACACAGTGAAGGTGAAGCTGGCGATGGTGGCCTTGTTCCCGAGGTCGGAGACGCCGGAGCGCGTGAGGATGACGTTCCCGAAGAGGGAGACGCGGAGGTTCCAGTTCGTCTCCCCGCGCCGGCAGTTGTTGAAGTGCGTGAGAACGGCCGTGTACTTGCCCTTCTCGAGTTCGTTGCCCAGGCGGTACAGAACGGCCTCCTTCCCCGCGGGGAGGAGCACGCACCCGGCGACGTTGTTATCGTTGTTCAGCTTGCCCACCTCGCTGTTAGGGTTCCCCTTGGCCAGAATGTCGCCGTCCGGCTCGATCACGCTCAGGTCCAGGTCGTCAGCCGAGTCCCAGAATAGCTCCACCAGGAGCTGCGGGTTGCGCGTTGTGAACGACACACAGCTCCTCTTGCGGGTGCTCTTCACCGTGGTGCGGACGAACCCGTCATCACCCAGCAGGTCGTACTCCGTGATCGGGAGCACGACACATAGATCCTCGAGGTAGTCAAACTGGTTGCCGCGGAGCGGTTGGCGGCCGATGCCCTTGCGCCCGCCGAGAAACGGAACCTCGAATGTGCCGAAGAAGTTGGGGCCGAACGGCGGCGCGAGCCCGCGCGGCGCGAACGTGGAGATGCGCTTGCGCGCCGGGCCGCGCTTGGACGCGGACACGCGTGCCTCGCCCGTCGCGCGGATGAGGCCCAGCTGGCCGTGCGACTCGTCCAGCAGGCAGATGAACGGCGACAGCGAGACGTCCGGCGCGCGGATCAGGATACGCGCGCCCGGCACGCGCGGCGTGTCGAAGCCGTCGGCCTTGCACAGGCGGAAGCGGCAGCGCGCACCGCACTGCGCGAGCGCGAGGGGGACAAGGAGCACCAGCAGCAGGAGCGAGAGGGGGGAAGCCATGGCGCGACGGTACGGCCGGATTGGTGGGGATGATGCGGGAAGGGGTGGCGGCCGATGGGGAGGGGGGGGAGGGGGGAGGGGGGTGTTAGTTTTATAAAGAGGAAGGCATGTGGAGAGACGTTGAGCTGCGAGTGGAAGGGCTGCGGCTGCGGAGGGAGGGCGGTACGTAGCGCGGGGGGAGGGCGGCCGTGGCTGAGATGGCTGGCGGTAGAGCGGCGCAGCTGCGGACCGTGACGCGCGTCACTCGGGCGCCGAGACATTTGACGCTGACATCTGGAACGGGAAGACGGCAGTACAGAGTGGCAGTCAAGCGTTACGTATCTCCTACGCCGCGCGCTGACAGAGCGCGTGCAAGCCCCGGACACCGGACCCGCAACTCCTGCCGTCCCGCGCCAAGCACGCAGCCACGCAGTCTTTTTGCTTGGATGAGATATCGCGGGAGGTCGCTTGCTTCTCTCAGGAGTAACTTGTGTGTAATTGGCCTCCGCCGAGAGCGGGCAGGGCGCGGAGGGCGGAAGGGGCGTGTTGATAGTGATTAGTGCCAGTGACAATGGCACGAGAGCGCTTGCTTCGGGTGACATCCAGAGGACCCAGAGGAGGTTATAGACGGTGCGCTTGCGTCGGTGCGCTTGCGGGAGCGGACAGGGCGCTCCCGAAGCAAGCACTCCCGTGCCATTGTCACTGGCACTAATCACTATCAACACGCCCCTTCCGCCCTTATCCCTTCGGGTGACATCCAGAGGACCCAGAGGAGGTTATAGACGGTGCGCTTGACACGGAACACAGCGCTTCTTACAGCACATCCCATGGTCATTTAGTGGCGCACTATTATGACAGCAGCAGAACAGTCAAGAATGGTTCCCCCTCTCGCGCTCACGCTTACCGTCGAGATGGCGAGCGTCCCTCTTGGGACCTGAGTTACGACCGTTCGGCGGGGTCGCTCTTTACGGGGCGTCGGTATACCGCCCTTCTGCCTTACGCTGAGCAGCCTTGGCAAGGAAAATTCCCGCGTAAATTAGTGAAGGCGTCCGATATTCTGCTGCCGACGCCGGCCCAAGCATAACCGACTACTTTTTTCTGCTTCTCGTTTTGCTTGCCATCCTCCTGAACCTGTGCTGCCCTAGAACGCAGCAAAAGCTAGAAGGGTACACCGCCGAAGCAGCTGAGGAAACAAGTTGCCTCATCGCGATCTCGTCTCCATTTAAATCGTGCAATGTGTGCAGTAGTATTCGACCACCATGCAAGTGGTCGACGGTCTCCATTTTTTCGAGGTAGCAGAATATACACGACAACGATATCCGTCTGCTCAACGTCCTTGAACATCCCGGAATGGGGCTACTCAGTAGCACATGTGGACTTAGTCGCCTGGATCTAGATATACATTACGTGCGTCATATGTTGTTTCTAGATACATATAAACCCAAGGACGACAACTCGAGGTACCTGTTGTTTTTGTGGTGTGGATTTATTATTGCATCCATCGGGTGTTAAATCTTCAATGTTCAAATAGCAAGCACACGGCGGTTGAACCATGGCCTGCATCCCGCCACTTCCCCTCGCTCTGCGGTACGCACACCCATGCGACATCCGGCCATCATCGTGGCAGAGCCCCGCAACACTTCCACGGGCACCTTGCCAATTGACTACGCCAATAAACGGCCAGCCATCCGTGGTGCGTGATCAGATGGGGCTTCTATCGTAAACGTAAACGTGAGGGGAGGCGGGAGCGAAGAAGGAGATTAAAATGTATGCTGATCGAACCTCGGCCGTCGCATGACCCCGCGAAGTAGAAGATTACATTACTGTTTACTCCTGATGTCCTTTGGCCTTTCCTGGTGGTAAAAATAGTCGCCGGCCAGAGCAAGCGCTCATTATACAGCACTACAAAGTATTTATGTACAGTAGTACACAGTGCACTCTCAAGTAAGAGGAAGCCATAGACACCAGAAAGAGCTCCGTTATGTTCAAGCAATTGTGCAGGACGAAAACGGTGGGCAGTGCATGGCAGCCTCCAGAATGGACATCGCATGCCCGTAGGACTCCCCTGGTGCGTTTGTAGGTGTGGTGACGAGAACGATGCCTCAAGGCATCGTTCTCATCACCACACCTACGGAGACTGAGGTCAGTCTCCGTGAGGGGTCGAAGATACGAGCGTCGTACAGTTTGTGTACAACATCATAACACTCTGCGCGACAGTTTGTCTCTCTCACCATTATCTTAGGTTCTGTAAGTACTGTAATATGGATATAACTGTCATGTTTTTACTCATATTTTCGACGCTACAGTACACCGCCGTGAGGTGTGCACTGCTGTACATCTCAAGACTTGGGTGCTACCGCATCCCCTCAGCCTGACGACAAATTGCAGTGAAAGGAGTTGACCTTGTCAGACCGCACAGGACAGTCTGTCCCTCAGGGAACAGACTTAACCAACGAGCAACGACGAGTAAACGAGGAGTCATCGGTCTCCTGTTCACACAGACCTCATATGACTGATGAGCTCCAATGAAACGCGTCTATTCTCTAGGTGACAAATGGCCTCATATGAGGCCAGTTTTTAGGGCTTTTGCAATTCGAATAATTGTAGAAATTTATCGCTACTGTAGTGAAAGGCTTACGATTAGAGTATTAAACGTTGGCAAACCAGAAAACATTCAATTCCGTATCTCAGTCTTCCCTAATCAACACTTTCGTCTTCCTCTTCCCAAAATTTCTTCAAAATAGTGAGCGTCAATGATCCTCGAATTATTGCAGGTAACCGCGTCCACACTCGTGCAAGACTGCTCGCAGCTCAGAGTAAATGTCGTCGCATGTATGGAGCCTCCTGGAAGATCAAGTTGGTCACGGGAACTGTCATTAGCATGAAAACTGACAAAGTGAAGGGTCGCAGTGTCACTTCAGTCAGGGCTAAAGGGAAATTATCAGATGGCGTCAAGTAAGTCACGCTTCGCATAGCTAACATCAAGGCTAGTGAAGTGATGGACCTGATCGATGACGGTCCTGAAGATCATATCCAGCAAGAAACTGAGCATTATGCGCAACCGGAGCTTACAGAGGACCGCGTGACGCCACTGGAAGGAGCACTCAGCTCGAGTACGAGAATCTCCGAGAGTGACGAAATGGATTCCCAAGATGGCCTCATGAATGTCCACGGCCGGGCCTGGAAGCGTGAGGAAGTCACGATGCATTTAAATGGTATGATACCGCCGAGAAGATGGAAGGTGATTGGACCGATTGATGAGATTATATCCCGTGGTCACAGTCCATCTCAAATGCATCCCATGGACTACTTCATGTGGATGTTCCCACAGGAGCACTTGGCATTAATGGTTTCCTACACCAACGATGCAATGGAATCACGGGGACTTCGCTTGACTACAAGAGGTGAAATTTTGAAGTTTCTCGGGGTGCTAATCCTTATGACTTGGATTGAATTCAGCACCAGAAGGTCTCTTTGGAGCTCACAGGAAACCAGCAAATATCTCCCGCAACCTCAATTCGGAAACATCATCTCCCGCAGAAGATTCGAGGAGCTTCGTCAGAATGTCACGTTCAGCTTTCCAGCTGACTCAAATGACAGATGGGGTATGATCAGGGACTTCATGGTCGCAATCAATGATCACAGAGCATCACATGTGATTCCATCACAGAACATCTGCGTTGATGAGAGTATGTCACGCTGGTATGGACTTGGAGGAGATTGGATTGAAACCGGCCTTCCTCATTATGTGGCCATGGACCGAAAACCCGAGAATGGCTGTGAGTTGAAGACTGCTGCATGTGGAAAAAGTGGAATCATAATAAGAATTGAGAACGTCGTCTCAGCTGAGGAGACTTCTTTAAAGGATTTTGAAAGTGACCACTTACACGGAACCGCAGTGACTTTGAGGTTGTTACAGCCATGGTTTCACACCAATCGTGTTGTCTGCGCGGATTCGTACTTTGCTTCTGTCCACACGGCTGAATCACTTTATGAGAAAGGTCTTAGATTCACAGGTGTAGTGAAGACATCTGTGGTACAACTCTCCTCAAACCCTAGCGGGCGAGAGGCTCGGAGGATGAGCCGAGGGAGCTCGCGACGCGAGACGCGCGGCGCGCGGTTACCGAACGGTCGGACTTGCGAAAAGGGAGTGGCACACTGGCCGGTTACGCGCAGTCGTCCCGAGGTGCTAGATCGGAGACGACCGGTAACGGGTTAGAAGCCAACGCGCGAGAGAATACCGAAACGGCAGTACGTAGGCGCGAAAGGGAGGGGGGCAAGTCTGCCCCCCGTGTTTACTGCGAGGACGGTGTCCAGGTCTTAACCCCTCAGAGGGACGCCCGGGACACCTGTCCAATACAGTACCTGTCACTTACTGTGGACCAGGTACTGTACGCGATTGAAAATCTAGCGCCGTCATTACACCACCGCACGGATCCTCACACTACGCGCTTGCATTACACTGCGCGCGCATTATCCCCACACGGTTCCTTACACTACACGTGTACCCAAGCGTACACCTGTCACTTGCTGCGCCCGTTCGGTAATCATACGTATTACACGTGGGCCACGGTGCCCCGTGCCCGCTGCGCGCGGCCGCTCCTACTGTACACCGACCGCGGATCGGTCGTTGTACCACAACATCCACCAAGAAATATCCGATGAAATATCTATCTCATCTGGAGATTGCTGAAAAGGGAGAGCACGTCACACTAGTTTCGAAGCCAGTGGCCGGGCCTCATCTCATGGCAGTGATGTGGGTGGACCGAGACCGCAGATACTTTATTAGTTCTGTCGGAACATCCAACGAAGGAACTCCAATCTACCGCGAGAGATGGCGTACACGTCATGGCGTGACAAGAAAAGAGGAATTGTCTATCCGTATTCCCTCAGTCTGTGAGCAGTATTATGAAACTTGCTCTCAGATTGACCGCCACAACAGATCTCGTCAGGATGATCTCGGCTTGGAAAAGAAGTTGGAAGTCAAGGAGTGGTCTATGCGTGTCAACACTTCTTTATTGGCCATTTGCATTGTGGATGCATGGAAACTGTATGCAGGTGCAAAAGGAGATGGTTCTAAGATGTCTCCAAATCAGTTTTATTGTGAGCTTGCTGACCAGTTGATTGATAACAAGTATGATCGTATATCGTTACGTCAGCGAGAATCAGACAGTGCTGTTGAAGATGAAGATGTTGGGTTTTGCAGTGGAATTGGTACTCACCTAACTCCAACCACTCGCAAGCGTAAAAGCGCATCCGGCGAGGAGACTTGTGCTCTTTATCAATCCAGATGCAATATTTGCAAAGGTACAAAAAAGTCAAAGTTTATTTGCTCAGCCTGCAAGGCATATTTTGACAAAGAAGTATACCTTTGTCATCACCAGACTGAGCGTGACTGTTTTAAGAAACACGTCGACGAACGTCACGATCTTACTTACAAAGGTAAGTACTATTGGTGCTTAAGGCGTTCTAAGCCTTTACAACTGACTAAATGGGTCAGCATTTGAGTAAAATAGAGCAAAAAGAGATAAAAACTCCTTTTGCCCCCTATGGTTCTATCCTGCGTCTAAAGACTTGCTTGGAAGACCTGCAGCCGTGTCGGAATGCCCCTTTATGAGATGTCACCGTATTCAATCTCATATTCGAGTGGGCGCTATAAAGCGTCCTGGGCTGCAGGTCACGAACAAGAACCATCGAGATCCCCGAAGGGATTTTTCGACCACTAAAGTGCTCAGCGAGGAGTTGAACCCCGGCCTCTAAGACTCAGCGATCCTTGCAGACCACTGAGCTGGCTTGTCAGTTACTAACTAGTCGTTTATAGTTGTCTTTATAGTCGTTCAAAGTTCTACTTCGTAAAAATTGTGCTCCTTTTGTTCTATACTTGCGAAAATCTTAAATTTTGTTTAAATTTTACTGTAGAGCATTTGACCTCATATGAGGTGAAGGGTGACCTCATATGAGGCAAATTGCCGGTCGTCTAGACACTAGCCAGACACTACTGTGCAGGGCAAAATTGTTCTAGTGCACTCTTGTAATGCGCAATGGGGAGGTGCGTTATCGTCAACGTCGAAATGCGCTACTGGTCGCACCAGTAGCGCATTTCGACGGCTACAGGCGCGAAACGGCAGCGACACGCCCTAAAGCGTTAGCTTCCAGCTTGCACAGTATCAACGGCCCAGTGAGAGTTTTGCCCCTTCGAGATACGGGCCAACCAGAAGGGCAGGATCTCAAAAAATCAAGAATGACAGCCCTCAAAAGATAAATTCATAGCCCGGAGACTTGGAAATGTGTCGCGCTGGAGGCAGAGTCATCGTTGACCACTTGCGCACACATCCTCAAAGACCACCACGACCACAAACCGTTATGCGCACTTGAGGCACCCAAAAGTGCGCTGCGTCAACCACTTTTCCGCCCGCAACGCACACACATCCTCTCCCCTTGCATCCATCCCCCCCCGACGCATGCAAAAAACACTGCAGAAGCGTCCACTTGCACATTATCCTTTCTATCGCCTCTTATCAGGTACCCTACGCTTCTATTCCGTCCTAGAGCTTACCGTCTTCAGGAATCATGGACCCGTTGAGTATCCTTGAACTGGTTGGCGCGGTGGAAGAGGTCGTCAGGCTTGTTCGCCTAGCCATAGACACCCACCATGCCTTCAAGAACAACAAAAGAATGGCCAAAGATATTCTCGATCAGTATCTCAAGCTCAAGGATTTGACAGGGGAAGTGGCAAAGATCCCCATTCACGACCTAGAACCGATACACAAGAATGAGCTTCAAAAACAGATTCAAGCAGTCTCGCGCTCTGTTTCAGAGTTGGTCAACGAACTCAAGGATGAAACAAAGAAACCGAAGGGGAGGTTCCGTGCCTTGGTGTCAGCCATTGGAGATCGAACTGTCTTATTAGAGCGCCAAGAGGAAGCCGAAAAGCTCTACGCTTCTCTTGATAAAGTAAGGACGGAATTGCACGGGGTGAGAGAGACGCGCAGACAAGGATCGCGCGTAGTTGGTGAGATACGCTCACATGCACCGGTAGCCGACGTGTTCAAGCCCAGCTTCGGAGGTGAATTCAACTCTCCTACAGTGCTCGTTGATTTGGACTCTGCCGGCGGCGGCGTTGTTCCTAACACAGTAGAGGGAAGGCTAAAGGCGGCTGTACTGAGCAACGGAACAACTTCGCATGTAGGGGCAACGGCAGTTGGACAAGCCGGCGTCGGAAAAACATGCGCCCTACGAGCAATTGCACATGATAGAGAGGTTGTCGCGCGCTTTCCGGACGGAGTGTATTTTTCAACGCTAGGGCAAGACGCAAGAGAAGCAGAGCTGAAACAACGACTCTGCAATGCTGTCCGCATCTCTGGGGGACATGAAAAAGGGGACAAGCTGTCTAACCTGGCCGACCTGGAGGAGGTGCTAACAGGAGTTAAAAGTTGGTTTGCAGATCGTCGATGCCTGTTCATCTTTGATGATGTATGGTCGCGCAACAACAATGACGAGAGGATCCTGCTAAAACTTTCCACCCTTGCCAGCACCGCAGTGCGAAGTGGTGAGCCAGCGAGCAGGGTTTTGTACTCCACAAGAGATCCGGATCTAACAGATCTGGGCGAGCAGGTTAAGTTTGAGCCGAGAAAAGGGCGTAATGCGTACGACATGCTGATCCATGCGAGTGGAGCATCGCGTGGTGAAGTAGAAGATCCAATTTCGAGAGAGGCGATTGGCGAGATTCTTGACATGTGTGCGGGACTACCACTGGCTCTGAATGTAGCAGGAGTCACTGTCAAACGATCAAGAGACGCTCAAATCGAGGACAGACCAGATTTGTGGACGTGGTACCTGGAAACGATCAAAGAGAGTAAAGGGAGCGGGGGAATCGGCGCGCAGGAAGCAAGGGGCGGGTACGAATCGCTCCACGCAATGTTGCGCTCGTCTTTACAGTTTCTGGACTCACGTGGCAGCGAAGGATTTCCGCGTTTCGCGGATATGCACCGCGCATTGTGTGTCATGAAGAAACAGGATGTAATCCCTGTGGCAGTGTTGAAGCATCTATGGGGAACGCGCGATGTGAACATCGCAAAAAAGTATGCGACGCAGATGAACAGCGTGGGGTTGGTTGACATTCGAGTTCTGTCGAACACTAAGAGCCAAGTGGTAAGTCTTCATGATTTGACGCACGATTTCGCAGTCTTTGAAGCAGACCAGGTTGAAGACTTCAACTGGGACAAGCACTGCTGTCGGAAGCTGGTTGATAACTATCGGAAAGAGAAGGATGTGGTCGAAATAGTTGTTGAAGATCAGGGCCCCGAGGCTAGCACGGCGGAGGAGGGATATTTTTTCGAGAATATTTGTCGACTGCTTTTCAGGGCAGAGCTGATGGAAGAGCTGAGCTGTTTGCTTCGTAGTAGTAGGTGGACAATCAAGGTGTTGCTAAGAAAAGCTGTGTGGCAACTGGTGGAAGCGGTGGGAGAGTTGAGGGAGGTTGTTAGTCAGAAACCAGAATTGATTGGAAGTGAGCAGTTATCTGCAATAATTCTGGTGATGCAAGCTGCGCGGCTGACTGCATCGTCTTGCGATGAGAGCGTTGCCGGTATCTGCTTTCAGCTTTACAGTAGGACAATGCACAAACGACACGTGAAGAGCGTGGAGAGTTTCTTGTTAGAGATCGAGAGGTTTGCGCCCAGACCGTGGTTGTTCCCAATTCGTCCATGTCTAACTGCAGCTGGGGGGAATTTGTTGGAGACATTCGACACGCCTGATTCAAAAGTTCAGAAGGTGACGTTCGATACGAGCGGTGCAGTCGTTGGATTAGCGTACGAGGAGTGGGGCGAAAGGGAGTTGGAAATATTCACGGGTACCAAACACGGGTCATTTGACAAAACTATTTGCGGCCCTTTCGGATCAGAAGACGTCACGTCTCGCGTCACAGCTGCTTGTATTTCCAAAGATAGCAGCCGTGCTGTTATTGGATTCAGCAATGGGGAATTGATTACTTGGTGCACCAGGAAAAACGAGCTTGTTCCATCTTTCGAGGGCCATTCCGCTGGGATATCCGCTGTAGTGATAAGTAGTGACGGGAAACGAGTTGCGTCGGGGTCAGGTGACAAGACGGTGCGAGTATGGGACGCTGAGACGGGAGTTCAAATCGGCGAGACGATGACCGGACACACAGATTCGGTGAGGAGTGTGTCGATGAGTGGGGACGGGAAACGAGTTGCGTCGGGGTCAGCTGACGAAACGGTGCGAGTATGGGACGCTGAGACAGGAGGTCAAATCGGCAAGACGATGACCGGACACACGGATTCGGTGAGGAGTGTGTCGTTGAGCGGGGACGGGAAACGAGTTGCGTCGGGGTCAGCTGACGAAACGGTGCGAGTATGGGACGCTGAGACGGGAGTTCAAATCGGCGAGACGATGACTGGACACACGAATTCGGTATGGAGTGTGTCGATGAGCGGGGACGGGAAACGGGTTGCGTCGGGGTCAGGTGACAAGACGGTGCGAGTATGGGACGCTGAGACGGGAGTTCAAATCGGCGAGACGATGACTGGACACACGTATTCGGTATGGAGTGTGTCGTTGAGCGGGGACGGGAAACGAGTTGCGTCGGGGTCAGCTGACGAAACGGTGCGAGTATGGGACGCTGAGACGGGAGTTCAAATCGGCGAGACGATGACCGGACACACGGATTCGGTGAGTAGTGTGTCGATGAGCGGGGACGGGAAACGAGTTGCGTCGGGGTCACGTGACAAGACGGTGCGAGTATGGGACGCTGAGACGGGAGTTCAAATCGGCGAGACGATGACTGGACACACGAATTCGGTATGGAGTGTGTCGATGAGCGGGGACGGGAAACGAGTTGCGTCAGGGTCACGTGATAAGACGGTGCGAGTATGGGACGCTGAGACGGGAGTTCAAATCGGCGAGACGATGACCGGACACACGGATTCGGTGAGGAGTGTGTCGTTGAGCGGAGACGGGAAACGAGTTGCGTCGGGTTCAGATGACTGGACGGTGCGAGTATTGAACGCTGAGACGGGAAGTCGAATCGGCGACACGATTGCCCATGAATGTGAAGGAGGCGTATGGCCCTTGAACACATTCGGCATCGATAAGGGCAGAGCGTTTGTCGAACAGGGTGATGGTACCAAAATCACTCTGGCAGAGCTTGGAAGTGGATTGGAAACCATCGCGCTGAGCTTCGAGCGCGGGACTGTTGCCGTTGGTATGAAGAGTGGTATGGTTGGTATCATGGCAGTTGTGAGTTCGAATCATCCGATGCCGTAGGAGACAGGCCCGTCGCAGCAACTCGAAAGGAGTGTGGTATCGCACCAGGAAGTGGCCGTGGAGGTGACGCATTCGGAAGCGCCATGAGTTGTTGCAGTCTCCGCATGTATTAATCGTGATATCAAGCATGACAAGTGTAAACTAAATCTTCACCGCCTCGTCAGTATTGAAGTGAGTCCTGGTGCTTCTGACATGGACGAAAACTGCGAAACGGTTGCTCATGGATGTGAAGGTATTTGGCCCTTGAACGCAATCGGCAATGATAATGATAAGTACAGAGCATTTGTCGAACAGGGCGATGGTACTCTACCAGAGCTAGGAGGATTGCTAACCATTGCGCTGAACTTCGAGCGCGGGACTGTTGCCGTTGGCATGGCGAGTGGTATGGTTGGTATCATGGCGGTTGTGAGCCCGAATTATCCGAGGCGTTAAGAGACGGGCCCGTCGCCGCATGTCGAAAGGAGTGTGGTATCGCACCAGGAAGCGGCTGTGGAGGTGACGCTATCGGTAGGGCCTTGGCTTGTTCCATTCTCCGCATGCCGCATGTGTTGATCGTGATAACAAGCATGACAAGTACAAACTAAATCTTCATATGGCACTCTGCCTCGTCAGTATTGAAGTGAAACTCCGTGTGTCATGGCTCGACCGGTAAGCGGGTAGTCATCACGTGTGATGCTTTGCAGCGGCGTAGGCACTCTATACTGTGGGCACGTACATGTCAAACCTCCTGCTTCTCTTCCCGAAGCTTCGTGTGCGTGTTTGTTTTTGATGTCCGGTAGTAGACATCTGCAACAGAAATCTGCAACATGACTGAAGTACTCACACTGCGTCAAGAGCGCGATTACAGACCATATGAGCTCACGAGCAGAGAGACACAATGAAACCCTTGAACTTGGATACAATTTCATTGCAGTGACTGCGAAAGAAAGCGGTTCTCTTGCCGTCCGGGCACACTTGACATACTTGTGCGCCTTTCTGCTTCCATGTGCATGTAGACTGGTGGATTGCGGTGATTGTTTGGTGCGATGCAGTTCGAGAACTCTCCATGTGGGGTTGTGCTGTACCGTTCTAGATAGCACAAGGCCAAGTGGCTTTTTTCAATGCCAATGGCCGTGGATATCCAACTGATACTCATTGCGTGTATAAATATGTACGACGATTAATAAGGGCGCGTATGTGCAGGTCAGATATGGAGCGAAGCGTCAGCTATCAGCAAAACTGCGATGGTGGACAGGGCATGGGTCAAGCACGACCGTGGCGAATGGTCGGAACCTCATCGCGCAAGGGCGAACGCGAAGAGGAGACAACAAGGGTCTGGATGCGTGCAGAGGCAATCGATATCGGCACAGCCCGATTAAGCTAGCGATGGATAGATACGACGCGAGCAGGATCGAGCACATATATTTAAGCGAAGTTAACATGCGAAGAAAAGACAGCGGCAGACAAGCCCAGCACCTGTTCTGGATCTCCTGTTCCCCCCTGACCTTCTCCCGTCCTCATCACACGGAGAGTACCACCGGTAGTCCCTTCACGTTTCACCCAGAATTCGTACGGGATGTCCGAGCTCTTCAAAACCGTACAGTATTTGCAGAATTACGCTCTATGTAGTTCTGTGCCCTGTTGTAGAGAATTCTGCATGTAGTATACAGTGCACAATGCCTTGCGCAACTTTGCGTCTCCCGCCGACAACCCGCTAGACGTAATGCATCGGCGGCAATCACGTCCCATGAGTATTTAGTTAAAGGGGCAGTGCGGTACAGGATGCAGGCTGGGACTAGAGGGCTAACACGAGTAGACAGGCGCCTTGGTTCGTTTTATCAGATGCTGAGGTAGTGGTGTGCTTGTGCCCTGCCTCGGTATAGACGCGCGAGGGAGTTCAGCTTCAAAAGTGCACTGCCAAAAGTTGAGACAAGAACCAAGAAACAAAATAATTTGCAAAGAGAGCACTACATGATTTCACAGAAGAGTGTACTCAGCGTCTCAATCTGACATGCAAGCACTGTTACAATCACCACGAGATTCAACATGCGATCAAACATCGGGAGCGGCTTTGCATTGCTGTGGTGCACATGTGCAACTTATTGATCGTGATGAGAGACTGCTGCATGAACGGCGTGATGGACAGCTCTACTCGCCACGCTACTTGCAGACAAGGCGTAAAATGTCCGCAGCCAAAATTCTTCTTAAAATGGCACATTTTCTGTCACGGGGGGCAACAGTTAGCGGGCCAAGGGGTGGATTTGGCCGGGGTGTGTGGATTGGGGCGGCTAAGGCGCGCGCGGCGGGGGTGCAGTGTCGCGTGTACGCTGCGTAGGCGCCGCGGCAGGAACGATAGTGCGCGCCCTTTCGGCCGCCGACACCCTCATGCAGCTGTTCACAGCTGCATGTTCACATGAACAGCTGACGCCTGTTTCTCCGCGCGACTCAAATCACAAGCGTCCCGACGCCGCCCGCCAACGCTACACACCGCCGCGCGCAGTCGCTACGGCGACGCATCGCGACGCACCGCGCAGCAGCGCCCCGCCGGCAATGCCCGCAAATGCGCGGAGGTGCGCGTCGGGGAGATGGGCGTCAGGGACGCCCACTCCGCGCGGCTGTGCGGGCAGGAGCGCTCCGCGGACGGTAGAGCGGAGAGGAGGGCAGAGGTTGCGTAGTAGTCCGGGGGAGGGGGGCGGAGCGCTTGGGCGAGAAGGAGGAGGTGGATGCCGGTGCGAGAGCTCGGACGGAGAGCTCGGGGGAAGATCGGGGCGGAGTTTCAGCAAGCGAGCGCGCGGCAGCTCTGGTCGGCTCGGGATCAGGTGTTGGAGCGCGCGCACAGCTTTTTGCATGCCCGCTTGCAATCGATTGAGCAAGCAGACGCGCGGGAGGCTGGTACGGATGGATCACGGGCGGTATCGGACGCGGTGGCGATCCTGCAAGAAGGCGGCAAGGTCGGGGAGGAATTGGACGTGAACGTGCTGCGGATCCAAGAGGCCGAGGACGCTTTCCTCGGCGCCGATATGGGCTTGATCAAGGGCGTGCGCGACGTGTGGGCGGAGATGGTACGGCGGGCGTCACTCTCACACGGGAGCGGTGCGCGCGGGTTGGAGCTGGACGCGTTCGAGATGGGGCGGCAGCTGGGGACGGAAGGGGCGTTCGCGGAGGTGGCCGTAGCGGCGGTGGAGAGGTGTGCAGAAGCGGGCTCGATGCTGGGGAGGGCGCAGCTGGTGGCAGGGGTGGCACGACGGGGGGGCGTGAGGTTGTAACATGTCGGAGAATCGTTTCTACGACAGAACCGCCCTTTCTGCTTCATATCGGCCTCGGCCATGCACTCGAATAGCTCGTCGTGCCCGCCGCGGGCGTAGTGCCCGCTCGCCTCGCGCAGTAGCTCCTCCCTAGTCGGGAGCGGGTCCTGGATGCGGCACAGCCAGTCGGGGTAATCGGCGTCGTCCTGCAGCGAGAGGTATGTAGGTAGGGGAGTGGTGAGTCGAAGAAACGGTGGGTGGGTGGCGGAGGGGATGACTGCCTCGTGAGGGGGACGTGCCAATTCCTTTGCGGCAGCGGCAGGGTCTTTGTGAATGTTGAGGGCAGCAGAGTCGTCGTGCATAGGTCGGTGCGAAATGGCGAAGACGGGGCGCGCGTGCGTGGGAAGGGCGCGCCACAGTGCGGTCGACATGGTGAAGTTGGGGGAAGCAGAGGTCGGCCATGGCAGATCGCGCCTGGGGAACGGGCGTGGCTGGCGGTCAGTCAAGGGACGGGGCGGGGGGGGGGAAGACGTAAATGCAAAAAGAATTGTGCGAGTCGAAGCAGAATTCTGAGTCATTATATTAATAATTAAATATAGCAACATATTATATTATATTAATGAGCAAATTTTGAATTCTAGCGCAGCCAGTAAAGGTTGTACACGTGTGCAACTATTTTGCTTTTTTGCTAATTTTGCTGCACACGTTGATCTAATTTCTCGCACTTTCAACTGTGCAATCCAGTCGGCATGAAACGACCAAAAAACATACAACAAAGACCCATCCAGATTGCCCAAACACACTCTGTAAGCCAAAGAAGAGCGGACGTGTCAAGTTGTACAGTATCTACGTGCAAGTCTCACAGCCGTCAGGCGAGCATCGGCCCTCGGCGTCCGGCACGAGAGCAAGGAGTGAGGCGAGCGCCGCGATGCACCAGCCGCCGTCCGCCGCGATGCGCGCCGCGGCGTCGGCCGCGGTCGCCGCGCGCGCGGCGTGCGCGCCGCGCCCCGTACGCATCGACTACGTGCTCCCGCTCCCGGGCGAGCCGCGCCCGCCGTTCGAGTTTCTGCTGCGCGAGTGGCTTGCGCGGCACGGCTTTGCCGACGCGGACGTCGTCAAGTTTCTGGCCGATCGCGAGGTCGCCCGCCTCAAGCGCAAGAAGGCGACGAGTAGCGAGGGGGAGCGCGCGCGGGAGGGCGCGCAGGAGGGCGGCAGGTCGTCGGAGGACGCGGAGACCGGCACGCTGGAGATCCCGCCGTCGACGGGGACGGCTCCGCCAAAGCACTTTTTGGATCCGCCGACGGAAGCGTGGCAGCCGGAAAAAAGGCGGCGGCACGCTGGTGAGGAGAGCGCATCGCAGATGAAGGTGGAAGGGTTGGAGGGGGACGGCGGGGCGGACGAGCCGAGAGGTGAGGAGGTGGTGGGGAAGGGGGATTCGAGAAAGGGCAAGGGGGAGGCGCAGGACAAGGCAATGGCCGAGAAGGAAGGGCTGTCGGTTTTGGGGCGCGACGCTGGTGACAAGAAGGTACCGCGGAAGCGAGTGGAACCTTCGGAGGGAGAGGTCAAAGGGGACAGGCAGGGAGGTGTAGAAGATGTGGGGAATGGAAATGCGAGGAAGGGGAAAGGAGTGGTCGTTAGGCTGGACGGCGAGGGGGAGGTAGTGAACAAGTCACTGGACAATGTGAATTGGCTGACTGTTGCGGAGCGCGACGCGGCGACAGGTGAGGCCGACTGGATTGCCTGTCGCCTGTGCTTGTGTTTCGGATGCCCTGGTCGGAAGGAAGATTATATTTGGATGCATGCGTGGCCGTTTGACGTGTCCGACGTCTTTGGGCATGTGGAGAAGAATCATCAGGACAAGTGGGGAGAGTATCTCGCGGAGGGCTCGGAGAAGCGCGCCACCTTTTTCGACGGCGAGAAAGCCCCGGACCCGAAATTGCTGGCTATGCGCGTCGCGCAACTTAAGCAGAACTGGGGCGCTACCAGGGAGGAGCGGAAGAAGAGGTTTCTCAAGCGCAAGAAGTTTAAGGAGCAGAAGCTGTTGCGGAAGATTGGGAAGATTGCCAAGGGGGGCGAATCTTAGACGCAGGAGGGAGGCCACGCAAGCTACACAACTGACCGCTGTCGGAAAACAATAACTTCTGGGGACGACACACAACGGTATTTCAAGGCACTCTGATACGCGATGATGCGGCGAGACGTGCGATTGCCTTCTCCAACAGTATCATCAAAGTGCTCTGCCAGTGCAGTCTTTGTTTGAAGCCATGTATCGGAACTATATCTGTGAAAGCAAAACGTCGTGGTATTTGTTGCTCTCTGGCCGACTCCAGTGCAATCGAAGCCGTACGAACACACGAAGGCTGGAGAAGGCTTTCACATGCTCCTTTGCCTGTGACCTGCACACCTGAAAGTGAGCTAACGAATTGTGCTCGGACAGCAACGTCACTGAAGACAAATCAGGGGCCGCAGAGAGGAAAGTGGTTTGTCAAAAAGACAAAGTTTGGAAAGCATACCGCGGTGGTCATTTCGATCGGAAGAAGTAGTCATGTCCTGTTCTTCTACCCATCTCTGATGATCTGTGCGCTTGCACCGAATCTGTTTTCCAGACCAGCATTCAAGATTCCCGCTGCAGCTGCAAAAGAGATGCATCTTGTTCGACGTGCGAATGAGTGCAAGCGTTATTTACACGTTCGCTTCTCTTTCTTACGATCGGCGTCTCCACGTTTAATGACGACCCTGACATTCTGGCCTTTGACATGAAATGGATCAAGATGCGATTAGTCTGTGGATTGCGGTGTTATGGATGAATTTTCTGCTCAAAAGCCCAGGCGATGCTTCGTTTCGCCTGAAGGCACCCTCGACACGACAAGGGTTGTCTTGACAATAATATCATTCGTTTTATATCGATCGCGCGCTCTCTGACCCCGTGGTACCAAGTGGAACATCTCTGATCACTAATACCGAAATTCTTTGCAACCCTCAATTCGAACCCACGTGGTTGGGACATGCGCAAGCCAAGAGGCATGGTGCCCCTGCCGATCAAACCGATATTATGTTGTAGTTGAGATTGCAAAACAACTGCTTGAGTTTGTGACAGCAAGGCAAGACAAGACTACCAGTCGGACAGGAGTGCCGTCCACCGATGTAAGTGAAATCATGCAAACTCCAACGACCGACGGAATACTGAACAGCTATCTGCCGTTCTCTCATGCATGTTCTGGAATTACGTGCCCCGCCCCCAAGACGTGCAGTTGTAGTCCTGCCCTTGCCCTCCGGTATATTTCTGTCATGTATTTGCCGGTAGCGCTACGCACAATGCGCACAAGGAAGACCACCTCTTAGTCTTTCGATTCTGTCCATCCCGGGAAGGCGTGTGGAAGCACAGTTTCCGTTTTCCTCCGATCCCCGTGGTTCATCGAGCAGGCAAGGAATATTCCTTGTCACAGACACAATTCTGTCCGCGCAGAGCTGCTAAAGGTCGACAACTCACCTTGCCAGAATCAGTCGAAGGAGGCATGTGAGGGCCTCTGCAGCCCGTTCGTGTGTTCGATGAAATGCGCAGCGGCCAAATGTGTACAGTGCCCCTTTCTGAGTATGTAAATAAAATATTTATTTTGTTGAAACTGTTAAACAAACGAACACGGCTAAAAAAAAACGGACCGTCTTCGGCAACTCTATCGCTCGGGGCAGAGGCCTTCCGTCTTAGGAAATGTTCCCTCGGCGGCTACCAACGCTGCTTGATCTGCAGGGAAGCGCTTTGAACTGCAACATCAGAAAGTTGCCACTGCGAAATCACCAGTGAAGTGTATCGCAAAGAGAGCAGAAGAATACTCGCTTCGATCCCCGCGTTTGGAAGGAAGGCTTATTCATATATATCTCAGGTCGAAGAATATTTACATTCGTGGTTGGGTCAGTTTCAAATGATACCGTAGCATGATACTGTACACGGCGAGCCTCCGCCGAGACTGATTGGGAGGAGGTAGGTAGGCGCGGGGCGGTTTCCGAAATTGCTTTTCTATGCTTTGTTTCCACTCGCTGCGGATAGCGAGAAGAACCACGGCACCGTCAGCGAGTGCTCCAAGACAGAACGGACACGATGTCCTGCTGCACTGAGAAGAACATCTGAGGCTCGCAAATTTTTGATTCATTTGCATTTGGCACGAATCCACTGAGAATAGTTTGCAATTAGAGAAGGATCCCGCTCTTCTTTACAAGATGTTCAACAAAAGATGTGCATTCATGCTTCCGATAACATGCTGAAATTGTTCATTGAGCTACATTTCATGAGCCAATGTGAGGCTAGAACGTCAGCAAGTGGCACAGGAGAGTGAAGTCTCAGATACAAAGAGATGAATACATGCTGTCCAAGAACAAGTTTGAATGCAACAAGGGTCTACTATCCGACTGTGCGGCCCAGCTCCGTAGCGAATGACGACAGTTCTCCGGCTATGAGATACAGAAAACAAAAACAAAAAACAGCTCATTCATTGCTTGCGAAGACAACACAGCAAAGGGACTCGTGGTGGGGTCACTGCTCTCCGTGCTAATTCTAGCTTGCAAGCATTTCTGGAGGGGCTCCTTTAAGACAGCATGGACGCTGTCCATGCAGGGGCTCCAGCAGGGGCTCCTTTTTTGACTTAGATGCAAAGAACGAGGAGCTTGAATTCAAGCAAGATCCACTGCCTAGTCGGAGCAGCGATGGTTCTCTGAGAGAACTTCTCTCAGCCGCAGAACAGTACAACGGTCATTACACGTGCATGGTGTTGGAATTGCGGCGAGATCAGTGCACGTAGTTGACTGGCAGCATTTGCAGCAGACCGGAAAAAGGTCATTTATATTGCCGAAGAAATATTGAAAGCAGTGGAAATCACGTAGAGAATTGAGGAACCCCAAAATGCTGCACACGTCTGCGTCAGTGAAAACCAACTGGTGAAAACCATCATGTGGTTCTTCAGCACCGGAATCTCTGGCCTTACACTGGCTGGGAGATTATGCGCGATGTTGCTCTACAGTACATGAGCTGTGAGTCATCAATTGTGGTCTTTGACGGATACGCGGCAGTGCTGTCCATCACTGAGTCAGTTTCATAACAGTCACTTCTCTGCGACAAATGGTAATCACCGCACTTGTCGGCGTCTCTTGAAACTAATACTGTACCGCGTGTAGCCATTGACTGGGCGAGGCTGCTCGCATTAGAGGGCGATTGTGTTTGTACGTCTTCGTACGTTATCTCCTGTTCTTCATCGAAATAGATACGTCGGAAGGGCACAATCGTGTGCGTTCAATAGTCATGGCGGAGATGTGGAAAGCGATAAGTGCCAAGCTGTCCAACATTCCAGTGGCTTCGGGCTCAACTGCCCGTAGATGTTTACCTGTGATACTGCAGTTGCAAGTGAACGGTAGATTGTTCCGGAAAAGCATTTGGCGATGCAAAATAGAAGGGAGCCGCAAATAATTCAGAGGCCGTATGGTAATGTGAACGAGATGGTGATCCCATCACCTCTCCTTCATAATCCCGAAAGCCGATGGCCGCAAGGTGCTATGACAGAGTGGGGGTGAAAAGTGACAACAACGCGTAAACGAAGGAACGGCATTGATACAGTTCCAGTTCATGTTGATATCAGCGTATATGCGTGAAGTTCACACGTACCCTTCGAGTGGTACACGCTGATACCACATTGCGAACAGTCGGAATATCGAGGCACTGATGCTGTCTCTCGTTTGCTGATGGGGTTGTCATCTTGACAACATTGTAATGTATCTAATATAGGCTGATTGACCGTTGAAATGGGTGTGTACGGGACATTGTACGCTGTACAGTACAAGGAGCGGAGTGTCGGTGTGTCCACTGTGTTGTGACTCACAACACAGTGGACAAAAAGCACCTTCTCACAACTTGTGAGAAGGTGCTTTTTGGTCTGGGATGGGGCGAATGTGGATCGTATTGTTCTAAATGGGGCGGAGGATTTTTTGACCTGTGCACCACCACTGTCACTGCCCCGCGGCTCTGCTCTACGTAAACTTTACATGCATCCAGGCGACTCGCTCATTCCAGCGGCCTGGAAAGCCTGCCTTCTCTAGACCCGTTACAAGTTGCAGTTACGGTTTGCATGCCGCGCATTTTATCTCCTGGCCTCCCCTAATCCTACGACGGGCGCCTTGTGCGCTTGTGTGGAATGTTGTGACGTCACCCTTCAGAAACGGTGACATTGAGGCCGCCGAGTAGGAAGTATGCAGTGATGATTGGTCGCTTAGGAATACCATAGACCGTACGCCAGCAGTGTGTTCTATGCGCTCATTGGCTAGAGCGTAGTATACAGGAGCGTTTCAACTAGACACTCTCAGGCTGGCCAACCAACAGTGCAATTGGGAGTTGAATTTTAGTTAAAATAAGACCGCAGTATTGGCCTACAGTTCCGATGCATCAATTCCGTTGATCTACCATTGTGACGTCACTGGCAACCAGGGGCATCATCATAGACAAGTTAGCTGAACGACTCCCCTTTGTTTGTGTGAACTGTAGTACCGGACGTACATGTAAGGGGGAGTCATTTGCATGCCATGTACACAGAAATGAAGAGCACGATCAAAAGTTAGTTTTTGCCAGTAACAGCTCTTGGACGGGCATCAGTGCACGCTCAACAAAAAGAGAATAAATAGCTTCCCGCGAGGCCTCTCACCCTCGAAGCGAACGGCATTGCCTGCCATCGTTGATCATCACCACCCACTTTCCATCCCTCTGTCATCATGGCGCGCTTCGCCTTCAGACTGCTCCCAATTCTCTTTGCCCTCTCTATTCTCTATTCCCCTGCCAACTCGAAGTGCCTCCCACGACGCGAGATAACCCGCAATTTCTGCGCCAACACCCCAGTCGTCTCTGACTTTTCGCTCACGGCGTACACAGGACGCTGGTTCCAGCTCTATACCACTGCCGACGCGGGCCGCTTCTCAGGCAACCGTTGCGTCACGGCAAACTACACAGCTCAAGCTGATGGCTCCATAGGTGTCCTCAACTGCCAGTATCCGGCCTCTGTCGACCGTCCTACCTGCGTACGTGCGGTCGCCGCCCGTCGACCGGGCAAGGGGCCCGGCAGTCTCACTGTTTCTTTCCGCCCTGATGTACCGCCAAATCCGTACAACGTCGTCGCCACCCTCGGATTCAAGAGTTACGGGTACTATGCTGCTGCAGTGTTCTTCTGTAACGTCACTGCTGGTCGTGTGGAACGCGGCTTTTTCATTATTGCCAGGACGGCGTACAAACCGCAGACTATTCTAAGGCGCCTGAAGGCAAAACTCCGATGCCTTGGCTTCCCGGTTGACGACCGGTTTGAGCGTTCCAGACACCCGCCAAAGTGCATGTATTTCGACGGCCTGAACGGCTTCCAGAGCAGTGGAGGCATGCCACCTCCAGGAGTCACACGCGGGTAAGTGGTATTTTCGCACCATCACCCAGTTGGCTAAAGAGAACTGAATAGATTTCTAGGATTGAATGTACAGCTCCTCAACTTTAGGGTCTCTTAATCTGAAACTGTACTTCGCGTAGCGACGAAAGACTACTCTAGCAAGTGTCTACCCGACTGGGGGCCTGTCCTCATATAACCAGAGCCCCTTTTTTGCAATAATATACGCATTAAAAGGCAAATTTATAGAGTCATTTTGGACACCATTTCTATTCCGTGGCATCCGCGAAATAGTGCACATACATGCAAGCAGGCCTTTTGTGCACTACCGGGGCAAGCAGTGTAACAGCACCCATATATATATATTTTTTTTCTTTACAGTTTGATAATCCTTCCAAAGGACTGTTTACAACGCCTTAATGAAGCCACATGATTGGTGTGGATGGCGTTACATACAGTACATACAGCCCTTGAGCACGTGAGCGCCTCAGACGCCTTTCGGGACAGTCCGTGAGGAGCCGAATTTTAGTGTGAATTCTGCCAGGCGACTTTTGTCCAATTTGGCTGAGAGCTTGACGGCATATGCCTATAAGGTAGCGAGCGTGAGGCAAGGTTTTATTGTATTCCCCGACCTTTCCTTAGCTGACGCATCGCACACAACACGTCTGGTCTTTGCACGCCTCACAATCGAAGCAGGTGATTGCGGAGGAAGTATCGGTGGGAAGCGCTACTGTTGTAATGTGAAGATGCTCCTGGCGGGAGATCAGGAATAGCTGTGGGCACTACCATCGCGTGGTACGCGTGTTTCCAGAACCTATCTTTATCGCGTCGCAATATGTCTTCTCCTAAATCGCAAAGACAAACACAAGGATACGTACATCATATGCATTAGAGCATGAGCAATACGGTCGCGCAAAGTTGAAGCGGCTCGCTGCCGCCGAGCCTGCATGATGGTCTGCATTTCTGGCGCAGACTACATGACGCCTTGCAACATCAAACCCCGGGGTGAAGCTGATTCAATGTACCTTGAAGGACATTATCGAAGTCATCTTGGTTTCATAAACACAAAGATGCAGCTAGCGGAGGCGTAGAGAGCCGACTCGCTTCCTTCACCTTCTCTCCCCGACAGCAGGGGAAGCTGTCGGAAGCACGCTCCCAGACCAGTATCGGTGGGAAGGAAAAGTTTTCCTCAGTGCGTTGGCGTCAATTAAAGGACTAG